CAATCAGAAATTATAGATACGTTGGAGACGTATCAGACAGCTACTTCAAGTGCAAGAAGGCTTGCACCAACACACTTGGATTCACCTCGCTCCATAAGTGCACGACAGCTATGAGGATGCTTGCATATGGAGCTCCTAGTGATTCACTAAAAGACTATGGACGCATGGACGAATCCACGACCATTGAGTGTTTCTACAAGTTCTGCAGGGCAGTGGTGGCAGTGTTTGGACCGCAATACTTGCGATCACCCAATGTTGAAGACACAGTTCGGATTCTAGCACATAATGCAACAAGAGGATTTCTTGGGATGCTTGGGAGCATCGACTACATGCATTGGAAATCGAAAACCCATCCATTTGCTTGGCAGGGGATGTTCAAAGGCGCCAAAGGCGGTTGCAGTGTGGTACTTGAGGCAGTGGCCACACACACGACCTCTGGATTTGACACTTCTTCTTTGGTATGCCAGGAACTCATAATGACATCAACGTACTGCAGTGCTCCCCTGTCTTTGCCAAGCTTGTTGAAGGTCATTCTCCTCCGGTGAAGTTCGAGATCAATGGATGGCACTACAACAAGGGATACTACCTAGCAGATGGCTCCGAGATGGTCCATATTTGTGAAGACTATCTCGAGCCCTGTGCCAGGAGGCAAGAACTCCCACTTTTCCAAGTGTTAGGAGGCTTGCAGGAAGGATGTCGAGCGGGCATTTGGTGTGCTCCAATCTTGAGTTGCTGTTGTCCGGTACCCCGCTCAGACCTGGTCGAAAGATCAAATGTGGGAGATCATGACTTGTTGTGTCATCTTGCACAACATGATCATTGAGAGCGAGCAGGAGGAGCGAGTGTTTGACGCTGAACCATATAACAGGCAGGGTCCTCTTGCCCATGTTGATCACCAGCTACCGGCAACCTGGACTGCCTTCCTCAATATGAGTCAGGAGATCCGAGACCCACAGGTTCATCAACAACTACAGCAGGATATGGTGGAGCAGCAATGGAGGCTCAAGGGCAACGCCTAGCTCGACGTGTGATGAAATATGAGTTTTTATTTGTTGAACTATATAATTTGTATTGAACTATTTGTTGAAATATTTGATTTCCATTGATTTTCTATGATGAACTATGTGATAATAATAGTTTCTGTTGAGTTTGCGCCGAAGCACGCAGAATATGTGTCGAAATTGGTCAATTTGCGCCGAAAGTGTGCCCATTTCCGCCAAAAGTGGGCTGAAAAGTGGGCTAACTGTTGGAAATATGCCCTAGAGGCAATAATAAATTGATTATTATTATATTTCCTTGTTCATGATAATCGTTTATTATCCATGCTAGAATTGTATTGATAGGAAACTCAGATACATGTGTGGATACATAGACAACACCATGTCCCTAGTAAGCCTCTAGTTGACTAGCTCGTTAATCAATAGATGGTTACGGTTTCCTGACCATGGACATTGGATGTCGTTGATAACGGGATCACATCATTAGGAGAATGATGTGATGGACAAGACCCAATCCTAAGCCTAGCACAAGATCATGTAGTTCGTATGCTAAAGCTTTTCTAATGTCAAGTATCATTTCCTTAGACCATGAGATTGTGCAACTCCCGGATACCATAGGAGTGCTTTGGGTGTGCCAAACGTCACAACGTAACTGGGTGGCTATAAAGGTACACTACGGGTATCTCTGAAAGTGTCTGTTGGGTTGGCACGAATCGAGATTGGGATTTGTCACTCCGTGTAAACGGAGAGGTATCTTTGGGCCCACTCGGTAGGACATCATCATAATGTGCACAATGTGACCAAGGGGTTGATCACGGGATGATGTGTTACGGAACGAGTAAAGAGACTTGCCGGTAACGAGATTGAACAAGGTATTGGTATACCGACGATCGAATCTCGGGCAAGTACCATACCGCTAGACAAAGGGAATTGTATACGGGATTGATTGAGTCCTTGACATCGTGGTTCATCCGATGAGATCATCGTGGAACATGTGGGAGCCAACATGGGTATCCAGATCCCGCTGTTGGTTATTGACCGGAGAACATCTCGGTCATGTCTGCATGTCTCCCGAACCCGTAGGGTCTACACACTTAAGGTTCGATGACGCTAGGGTTATAAAGGAAGTTTGTATGTGGTTACCGAATGTTTTTCAGAGTCCCGGATGAGATCTCGGACGTCACGAGGAGTTCCGGAATGGTCCGGAGGTAAAGATTTATATATATGAAGTCCTGTTTCGGCCATCGGGACAAGTTTCGGGGTCATCGGTATTGTACCTGGACCACCGGAAGGGTCCCGGGGGCCCACCGGGTGGGGCCACCTGCCCCGGGGGGGCACATGGGCTGTAGGGGGTGCGCCTTGGCCTACATGGGCCAAGGGCACCAGCCCCAAGAGGCCCATGCGCCTAGGGAACCCTAGAGGGAAGAGTCCTCAAGGGGGAAGGCACCTCCGAGGTGCCTTGGGGAGGATGGACTCCTCCCCCCCTCTTGGCCGCACCCCTTTCTTGGAGGAAGGGGCAAGGCTGTGCCTTCCCCCTCTCCCCTGCCCCTATATATAGTGGAGGGGAGGGAGGGCATCCATACCTGAGCCCTTGGCGCCTCCCTCCCTCCCGTGACACCTCCTCCTCTCCCGTAGGTGCTTGGCGAAGCCCTGCAGGATTGCCACGCTCCTCCATCACCACCACGCCGTTGTGCTGCTGCTGGATGGAGTCTTCCTCAACCTCTCCCTCTCTCCTTGCTGGATCAAGGCGTGGGAGACATCGTCGAGCTGTACGTGTGTTGAACGCGGAGGTGCCGTCCGTTCGGCACTAGGATCATCGGTGATCTGAATCACGACGAGTACGACTCCATCAACCCCGTTCACTTGAACGCTTCCGCTTAGCGATCTACAAGGGTATGTAGATGCACTCTCCTTTCTACTCGTTGCTGGTCTCTCCATAGATAGATCTTGGTGTTACGTAGGAAAATTTTTGAATTTCTGCTACGTTCCCCAACACTAACTTGCGCCAAAAGTGGGCCTAAATCGGCGCCTGGGGGCAGCGGCTGGGAGCCGGATCGCTCCCACGCCGATTTTATCGCCGGTTCGCCCCCAAGCGGCGCTATTTCCAGCCCCTGGGGGGACGAACGGCTAGAGATGCTCTAACACCACCACAGGATTTGACCCTCCCTCGCGCCGGCTCTCCCCTGCCCCCGGTGCATCTCGTGGATGTTGGTGTTGCCTCCTGTGTCCACCCGCAGCCTCTGTCGTCGGCTCGACGACACCTGCCCCACTTCGACATCCCCCCTCCCCCCCCTCGTGGCGGTCTCCATCTTCACCGGAATCGACACATATCTTCGTTGCACTGCTTCAATCTCGTGGCCTAAAGAAACAACAGAGGTGCTTCGTTTGTTCCCAAACAAAGTCAGTGGACGATGGGGATGACGTAAAGCACCCACCAAGGAGCTTTGTGGTGCCATTTTCACGGCAAGACCGACGGTCTTTGAAGGTGACCAGCAAGCTTTGTCATCGTCCGGGAGTTTGATTTGACGCCCACCCGTCAACTGCCGGCGGCCCACTATCCCGCCCGTCGTCCACCCCTAGCTCCAGATTCAACCCAATGTCGCATGTCGAGGCTCTCACCTTCTCCGCCCGCAAGGTCTTCAAAGAAATGCTTAGATGTGTTTTTTAGCTATTTTCCTTACGTTTTTCTATTTTTGCAATCAAAATCAACGTAGGATATTGCATCGTGTAGAGAAGAGTTGACAGACATGATCTTCAACGACCATTCGTGGAACGAGGAGGAAGAAGATGATGACGATTTGAAATGAGCAGTGTTGTGGTCGTTAATCAGGACTTTCGAAGACACTAGGATCACAAATCGACCGCTTATACATCAATCGAGATAGAGCAAATGGCCATGAGAAGCTTATTGAGGATTATTCCAACACCAATGCGGCCTAGCCAGAGAAGTATTCTCGTCGTCGGTTTCGGATGCACTGAAGTCTCTTCCTCACCATTGCAAGAGTTGTGGAAAAGTATGATGAATGGTTTAAGCTGAGGAGTGAGGAGTACATTGGGGGAGAAAACTGTAAACCCATCGAAGGCAACGTGAGAACCCACTTTGCAATGTGTCAAGAATTGACAAGGATGTTGAGAGAGAGTTTGGTGTGCTTCGGAAGCACTTTGTCATTGTTCGTGGTCCTTCCGAGTATTGCAACCCACATGTCCTATGAAAAAATAATGATATGTTGCATCTTTCACAACATGATCATTGAAGATGAGAGAGAAGTTGGAGCTTTTGGTACATCACCAATGATCTAAACATCGGCTTGAGATCGGCTTGTTTATTGAGTCGAAACGAAAAACTTAAGATCGGCTTGAGATGCTCTAAACATCGGCGATAATCAGTAACCATATGCTGCTAGCAACACTAATCGATCAACGGGAACGTGCAACTAGCTACAAATCGATATTTGTGCCCAAAAAACGTTCTCACTTGCACCTTGGGCGCTCCAATCCCAGAGGCTAGAGTACAAATATGAAACATCCGAGAAAGATTGCACCGAGATCACCATCACCTTCTTATTATTCACTTGTTCTTTTGCTCATATACTACACACCATAATTACCGGACGCAAGTTGCTACACGCAGCGTATCCAAACGTCCGTGCCACCACTCCCCCTTCTTCCTCCTCACTGCGCCACCACCAGCCTACAGCCACCCATTGCATGCCAGGGAGATGACCGACAAGCTCATCGGGACTTCGCCCTCACATCTGCACGGCCAAAAGCTCCGGCTGCCGTATTTCCGGGGCGGGAAACACGGCACCGCGGACTCCCGGATCACCACCACACCGCCCCCTGAACACTCCTACTCAATCTACTAAGTAAACGGATCATGATGTGTTAGCCCAGCTCCAATCCACCGCCCACTAGCCTGGCCATGGTGCCGTGCTCTCGGCGTCTCGCCTCGTGCCGGCCTCCACCGCGGCAGGCGCAAGAACACGGCCCCTCCTCCGCGCGTCAGTCGAGGGGGAAGCACGTGTCCTCGCCGCCGGTGTTCCAGAGGAAATGCGCGTACGCAGCGGCGTAGTGCGCGTTGCCGGGGTCGGCCGCGATGGCCTCCTGGTACGTCTCCTCCGCCGCCTCGACGTCGTCCCGCGCCTTCCACAGGAACGTCGCGTACCGGCTCAGCGCCTCCGCGTCCGTCGGCTCCGCCCGCACCGCCCGCTCGAAGTAGTGCTCCGCCCTGCGATTAACAGACACGTTGCAGATCAATACCACGGTAAAAAAATTGAACTGGCAATTCGTCGAACAGTTGGGGGGCGTGGCCGGGGAGGCGGGGACCTACCGCTTGTGGTCCTTCCGCGTGATGTAGAGGAATTGGGCGAAGTTGGCGAGGATGAGCGAGTTGTTGGGCTCCTCGGACACGGCCAGCTTGTACCTTTGCTCCGTCCGCGCGTACTCGCCGACGTCCTCCGTCTCGATCTCCGCCTCCACCGGCGCGACCAGGTTCCCCAGCACGTCCGGGTCCGTCAACTCGTCGGCGCGCGCATCGGCCTGCATGCTCGAGGCCTCCGCGACCATCCTTTCCCAGATGGCCTGCTCGTCCACGGCGGCGGCGCCGGGCACGACATTCTCCACGCCCGTCCCCGCCAGCGGCGTTAGTTGCTGTGGTGCGACGCGGCTTAGACTGTAGCGGGATTCGTCCCCCCGGTCGTCGCCGGAAGCTCCCGCGACGGGCCGGACATCGCCGCCACCCCCGCTGCCCCCACCGACCGAAGCAGTGCGGCCAGCAGAGAACGTCTTGACGGAAGCCGCGTCGAACCGCGGGTTGGATGGCTCGGTGTGCTGGGTGTCGACCACCGTAGCAGCCGGGGCAGCGGGCGGGGTCGGTGCGACGGCGGCGGCGGCGACGCTGTTGCTCATCGAGTGGACGGTGAAGTTGGCGAGGAGGAGCATGAGGGAGAGCATGAGCGCCGGGGTGCCGGCGAAGATGTGCTGGAAGAGCCAGACGAACGAGTCCTGCATCTCGCCGTGGGCGCGCGCCAGGACGGCCTGCAGGTCGTCGCAGAGCATCTGCTGCAGCGCGAAGCTCTGCAGCTCCCGCACGATGAGCACCATGGAGGAGAAGGCGCGGCCCACCGACTCGCCGGCGGAGCCCAGGCTCAGCCGCTCGTCCCACCGCGACCGCGGCGGCACCTGCTGCCGCCGCTGCTGCTTCTTCCGCTTCAGAATCCTAAGGGACAGGGGCAGCCCGACGCTGCTCGCGCTCTGTTCCAGGCTCGGCGGCCACCCGCACCCCGCCGTCCGCACCCCCGCCGACGCCGCCAGCTCCTCTATCCGCCTCAAGAACTCCATGTCCCCGCCGCCCACGCCATCTATGCTGGCACTCAGCGCGCACCTCGCTGGCCGCCCCTCGCCTCGCCGGCGCGACACAAGACCGCCGGGCGCCCAGGATCTCGCGAGCATGCCGCAGCCGCCGCCGCCACCGAGGAACGGGGACCGCGAGGAAGTCGAGGGCGGGCACGGCGATGGCACGACGGCCGCCACCTGGAAGCCCATGGCAAGCTTGTCTGGTCCCCTTCCCTGCGCGCGGCGACAACCCTCGGCCTCTGGTTGGGCCTCGAGATCAGCACCGCGAGCGCGAGGGAGGTGTGGAAAACCGCGCACGGCCGTCGAAGGAGGCGGCTCGCTGGATGCGAGCAAACGGAGGGAACGCGTCGGGGGCTTTTAACCAAGGAGATCCGGAGGGGCGTGCGCGTCTTGCCGTCTTGGCCGGCCTCCCGTGAACGTGAAGCGGCCTAGTTGTAGTGTCACTGTTCGTGCCTTGGAGTGTAGTGTGATCAAGATGAAAAAACTTCTAACCGTATTTGGGTCATAGCAAAAAATCTTGGCACTTTTTGGGTGGAAAATCCACTTCTTAGGCCGCGTTCGGACCAGAGGACAGCGAAACGAAGGAATGAAAAAAAGTACAGGAAGTGAATATGGGTGAACAGTGCAAACCATAGGTCTCCAACAGCGCGTTTCCTTTGGTCTGAGCAGATGTTATTTTTCCCGTAAAAAGTACAGGTCAACGGCGCTTTCCCATGGAATGAGCAGAGCTGAGTCCTGCGAAGCGAACAGGCTTACGTTAAAATATTCCTGTGAAAACTGGGCCTGCAGAATTCCTGTGAGATTCCCGTGCGCCGAACGCAGCCTTAGCTTTTTTGTGATTTTGTAGGAACATCTCTCAACCCTTTGATGAACACTCGTAGAGTTCAACTCCGGGACTCAACCCATAAGTAAAGAAGGTTTGAATGTCAATTGAACTGTTTGTGTTCTTTGTAAATCATAGTTCAAAATCCAGACTTACCGTGCGGACACATTTTGTTTTCATGAATCATAACCGGGAATTTGTTCATATCATGCAACCGTGTAGGCACTGCATGATCATGGGGATCACGTGGCAATGCCGTTGCCACGGCTGTTGAGGCCACGGCGCACTTAGCCACAGATGTGCAGGTCACGCTATACGTCTAGTTCGTTGTTGTTGTTTCTGTTTTCTCCTCTTCGACGAAATTTTATGACCTATTGATCACACTTGTTTGGACCTTTATTATAAAGCCGGACGATCCTTGTGTATTTGTTCTACTCATGGTAACTTTACCTCTCTTGTGAGTTTAAACGAAATTAATATTTGACCAGAGATAATTGATTTTGGAAATAAACCAGAATTTATGTTCCAACTTGATTCACTGGCCGGTTAAAAATAATTTTAGTCAATTTCTAATGTGGTTTTTTTTGTTGCGGGGAAATTTAATATGTGGTTGACACAAAATCTATACCGCACCAGTGATAGTTATCTACTTCTCCCACACCTACTTCACAAATGAAACCCACCAAGTGAAGTGGAAAACTTTGTGGCCACGTAGAGGCATCATGTGGTCAATTAGTCATAATAAAGTGCCATGCTCCATCAAAGTCCCGTGGTAAACCATGATCAGCGAATTCACGTGATGAGGTCAAATCCAAATTTCTAGATCGAATTCATGTGATTGGCAAGTGGTTGCAAAAGAGTGCAAGCTGCGGAGCCCAAGTAGACCAAAACCATCCATAAACTTGACCACTTAATTGCAGTCTCGCAGGCTTAATCAGCTCGAGCTAAACAGTAGTCACATCAAAAAGAAAAACGGCCCGTGCCAAGAAAAGTCCAGAGCGGAAAAGGCTGCCGCGGGTGCATCCGTCGCACCATCTCGAGCCCCGAGACTTGATGAGTGACCGCAGAACGTCGTCCGAAGGGCCCCACACGCTAGAGAGAAAGAAATATCGAGGCGAACGGACGGCTGTGGCCTGCTAGAATCCAACCTGGGTTTCGGAACGGATCGGCCGGAGAAACGGCCAGTGGGCCGCGTCGGGGCTCGGCTACAGTGCTCGCTCCCTGGTCATTGGACGGCCGTGACGGGTCCGATAGGACGGTGGGCTAGGGTGCACTGGATGGGTTCTGGACTACAGGACTCTGTTTCGTCCACGATGAGCACATGGGAAATGTGTACTGCACTGCGCTAGCTGGGCGGTCACGGAGGCATGGGGCCGTGTCAGTCACGTGTGTCGTGCGTGCGCGTCGGGGTGGGAGGGGGCAACAAAGCCAACTGTGGCGCGGTGGTTCCAGTGCTAGGCCAAGCTGGATCTCGTTCACCGGGAGTGAGCTCGAGGAGTAAAGTCGGAGACGTTGCTCTTCGGTGCCTTCGCAGGGGCGCCGGATACTGCTGGAATTTTTGTGGTCATGGGAGGACAAATATCTCGCTCGTGTGAGGCGGTAACTGCTGGAATTTAGTCTATATTGAGGCAGCCCAATAACTATTTCAAAAATTCCTAGTGAATTCTAGAGGCCCACTTAGCCCATTTACGCAAGGCAAGGGATACTATTAAAGTTTAGTCACACATTGCTAGTTTAGAGGGAGTTGGACCTCTTTATAAGGGAGGCTCCTTCCCCACTTGTATGAGCATGAGAACAAGAGGGACATCCACGCGCGCTCCTCCTCCGCCGCCCGCCACGCCTCTTCGCGTTCCTCTGCTGTACACAGTTCCAAACTCTGCGCTTCTACTGCTGCTGTTAATAAAATCATTCGGTAAATTGCTCATATTTCCAACAATCCAAAAACCTTATTATAGTGAAAATGCATTATCTCGACTAAAGGGGGGGTGAATAGGCGATTTTTATGAATTCTTCACTGAGGAATTTGCCGGTGAGAAAATTCCTTAGCGAAGAACTATTAGCAGCGGAATAAGTACTCAGAAGTAAGCATAACAGAATACACGCATGGTCATCATGATGAAATGAAGACTAGCGCAGAGTACAGAAAGCGTAATCACAGGATAACACAAGATGAAGACAAACAGACTGAAGAAATTGAACTGAGGAAATTGAGAAAGTCTTCAGTCAAAGTCTTCAAACACAGATATGAACAAACACTCAACACAGTAATGAGGAAATGAAAGGGTTGAGGAAATAGAACCAGTTAGGTTGGTGAAGACAATGATTTGGTGGTTGGTGAAGACAATGATTTGGTAGACCAGTTCCAACTGCGGTCTCAGTTGTATGTCTGGTTGGAGCGGCTGGGTATTTAAACTCGAGGACACGCAGTCCCGGACACCCAGTCGCTGAGCACGCAGCTCAGGACACCCAGTCCTCACTGTATTCTCCTTGAACTAAGGTCACGCAGACCTCGTCCAATCACTCGTGGTAAGTCTTCAGGCGACTTCCAAACCTTCACAGACTTGGTCACTCGGCGATCCACAATTCCTCTTGGATGCTCTAGACCTTGACGCCTAACCGTCTGGAAGAAGCACAGTCTTCAAAAATAACAAGCGTTGGATCCACGCAGGATCAATTTCTTCAGTGATGCTCAATCACTTTGGGTTTGTAGGGGTTTGGTTTTGGGGGTTTTCCTCACTTGATGATTTTCGCTCAAAGTCCTTGGAGGATGGGTTGCTCTCAAATGACAAGTGTCAAGTTCTCTCGAAGCAGCCAACCAGCTAGTGGTTGTAGGGGGCGGCTATTTATAGCCTAGGGAGCAGCCCGACATGATAAGACATAAATGCCCTTCAATGATATGACCGTTAGGTGGATAAGATATTTTGGGACAGCTGGCGCGCAGCACAGCAACGGTCGGAAATTTGACTCTCAAATTCCTCAGGGCTATCATGTTCCTCACTGTGTAGGTAATTCGCACTGACGAATTCCTAACTCCTCAGTCAGAACAAATTCATCAGCGACTAGAAGAACTTCGTCTCTGTCACTGAAGAAAGTGACTGAACTGTATGAGATTTTCAAAGGCTTCACTCGAAGGGATTGGTAGGTGTAGGATTTTGAGTTGAGCATCACATGGAATATTTCCTTAGTATTTCCTCGACTCCCTTTAACAGTACGGTGTTTCCTATGACTCAAGAAAGAGAAAATGAAACTACGAAAACAAAAGTCTTCACGCTTCATGTTTCACAGATGAATACCAAGTCTTCAAGGTCACACCAATTTCGTCACTTTCAAAGTCTTCAGAAAGTCTTCAGAATATCAAAGTTTTCAGTTGAAGAACTTCATTTTTAGGGGTCGACTTTCTCTGTAAATATCAAACTCCTCATAGACTTATAGACCTGTGTACAGTCACAAACGCATTAGTCCCTTAACCTATAAGTCTTCAATACACCAAAATCACTAAGGGGCACTAGATGCACTTACAATCTCCCCCTCTTTGGTGATTGATGACAACATAGGTTAAGTTTTCAACGGGGATAAACATATGAAGTGTATACACTGATGTTGAGGAATTTGATTACAAGATATAGTGGAACTCCCCCTGAAGATGTGCATAGTGAGGAATTTGCTTTTGAAGCAATGCACATTTGAAGAGTTGAATCATGGAGATATCCCCCTATATCTTGTAATTCATACACGCATTTGATATATAATATGAAGAATTTGAAATGCATGACGAAATATGGTGCCTGATAAGATTCAGCATGCATGCAATGTCATTAACGAGGAATAAGCATGCAGAGCATAATGCAACCAAAGTATCAGCGCACCATCGGGTTTAAGATTACAACTCGATCCAAATAAAAGTTTCAGAAGAACAAGAGTTGTAACTTAAAAAAATGCCCTTAATATAGACCCGCTTGAAGACTAACTCAGATTTCTCCCCCTTTGTCATCAAGTGACCAAAAGGATTGAAACTGAGGACTAACGCCCCTGAAGAATTTCAAGTCGATGGAGGAGCGCCAGCGTTGTCGGGGTTGTTTGTTGTAGCAGGGCCTGCTGCAGTGTCGTCCAAATCTTCATACTCATCAGTGTCACGCGATGAAGAATAAGAGCTGGCCACCAAGGAAGGAACTTTGACCTTCTTGAATTTCTTCGGTGGAGGTGCAGACCAGTCAAATTCTTCTTTGAGACCCATATTCTTCAGATCTGCAGCGCTGTAGACATGAGAGAGAACAGCCCAGGTACGGTTGAAGGTTTCATGGAGGTAGTATTGGTTTTTCTTCACTGCATTGTGTGTTGAGGTCATGTTGTGAAGAATTGAACCAAA